TGATAGTACAAATAATATTTTATTTTAAAAGTGGAAATTTAAAAGCCTATGGAAATTTCTGAAAATCTAAAGAAATGCTCATATTTTTCTCACTTTCTAGAAGTGTACCAACAGGTTTAAAAAATATCAGTTTGAATTTTCATGCAAATTGGAGTGAAAATTCTTACTTAAACTTGATTATTCTAATTTCTCCCAGCTGTTAAACTGAAGTGAGACAGTAAATTATTGGCTCCACAGGTGCCTTGGCAAAGCCAACACCTGCGTGAAATCAAATGGAACTCTCCAATTTTAAAGAATGTGAACCACAAAACTACTAAGATCTCTTATTCTGTGAATGTTTTTAATTATATTACTGTTAGGGAGAGTCAGTTATGCCATCCAATTCACTGAAAACTCTCAAGACTATTTTATGGCATTCCTCTCTTAGTTGTGGGGGAGAACATCAGATTTACATTTAGATTCGCCTCCAAATAACACATTCAGCAGTCACTTCTGATGTGGGGCTACCTGAAACAACTGAATGCCAAACAACTTAAAGGAATCACAGGAATATTTTCTGAGTTTTAGATTCAGCTCTGATCTAACTTGCTTTTAGAAACACTATTGGAAAGGAAATAAATTTTTCAAAGCCATAACAAAAATTAAGAATGAAATGAAAGTTATAATTTGTTAAGGATGGCAAAAAATGTAAACTTTACATTTTGGTTTTTTAAAAAAAAAACAATACACATGATTCTTCTGACTATAATGTTCTCCATTGACTTAAAATGTTTTTTAAGAAATTTTACATCTATAACTCTTCTGGGAACTCTGGTAGCCTAGTGGTAAGGAGTTCTGCTGCCAAGCCCAAAGGCATGTGTGGTTTGAATGGGCCAGGTGCTGTGCTGAGGAAGATATGCGATCTCCTCTCGCACGATTTATAGACTCTGACCTGCAGGAGGGTCAGCTAGGAGTCGGTTCTGACTTGACAGGACATGAAAGGAGATTGTCCATCTTTCTCAATGGATTCTAATCACCAGAGAAGCACAGATTAGCAGAGCAACTCCCTATGGACTAGGCTCCCACAGTTCCTGACTCTTAATGTAGGTGATACTATTTCTGGAAGGGTTGCCCATTGTTAGGTGCTGTTGACTCTGACTTCCTGTGGCCCTATGAACATAGATCTGAACCTTGCCCATTTGCAAGTGACACCCCCACACTTTACACTATGCTTAAACCCACTGCTGAAGTCATTATATCAATCTATCTCCTTATGGTCTTCCCTCTACTTTCTAAGCATGATGCCCTTTTCCAGGACTGGCCCCTTCTGACAACACATGATAAGTTTGTGTGGCAAAGTCTCACCACCCTGGTTGTACATCTTATAAGACCAACTTGTTTGTTCTTTCAGCCGTTCACACCATATTCTGTATTCTTTGTCAACACCACAATTCAAAGGCATCAACTGTTTCTCAGTCTGTCTTATTTAGTGTCCAACTTTCATAAACATATGAAGCCACTGAAAAAAAAAATACTATGGCTTGAGTCAGGCACATTTTAATCTTTAAATCAATATTCTTACTCTTCTGCATTTTAAAGAGGTCTCTGAGAGTAGATCTGTCCAGTGCAATAAGCCTTCTGATTTCTTGACTAGTGCTTCTGAGTGTGTTGATTATGGATCCAAATAAAATTAAATTTGACAACTTCAATCTTTTCTCCATCTATCATGACGTTGTCCACTGGTCTAGTTGTGATTTTTTTCTTTTTTAAAAATTTTATACTGGTTTACTCAAAGTTCATATATATATTATGTTTCACACTATTCTTTATTCATATTGTGTTTCATACAATCATTCCCATGCATTATGTTTTATAAAATCAACCACCATTGGACTTTGCTCATTAATACCCAATCTTTTCAGGTCCCCGCTGGATCCTTCCAATTTCCTTCACTCCCTCCCCTCCACACACCAAACTGTGCAACCCTGTGGGTTTCACCCCTACCCATTCTCATCCCTATGTTCCCATTCCTTCTCCTCTTGGATCACCATACAAGTTTTATTAGTTATCCTTCTATTTTTACGATAATGGTCTTATGTAGTATTTGTCCTTATGAGACTGAGTTAATTCACTACACATAATGCTCTCCAGCCTCTCTCAAGTTATGCAGTATTTTGAAAAACGGTTGCTCCTAAAATTTTTGTTTTCTTGATGTTGAGGTGTAATCCAAACTGAAGTCTTTGATCTTCTCCAGCAAGTACTACAAGTCTTCAAGCAAGCAAGGTTGAGATAACTGCATAATGCAGATTGCTGATGAATCTTCCTCTAATCCTGATTATTATATAAAATAATAATATTTTTTAAAAAAAACACACATCCAGAACTCATTTACTGTCGAAAGAAGACAAAAATCACAGAAAAACTATATTACATTCAGAATTCTATACTATTTCAAGAAATGGGAAGACTTAGTGAGATAAATGGAAACTACAAAGAAAGAATGACAAGGTAAATACTGCATCAAACTGATTCAGTAATATTTTCACATCATCAAATCTCTGCCCCTGGTACCTCCTATATAGTAAGGTGTCTTGTTCAAAAACTTCTGACAGATGTTACATTGTATTCATAATATAGGACTCACTAAAATCAGGCAATTGTTGTCAGTTAGTGTCTTACCTTAAAGGTTTCCAACAAAATATCAGCTCCTAGTTTACATGCTTGATGGACTGGCATTCTAGAAAGACCTAAGCTGATTTCAACAGCTTTTCCTTCAAGAATCTTCTTTGGCCCATATGAATCCATCAGAAGGAATCCAAGTTCCACCAGGCCCTGAGTAACATGATCCCAACTATGAACACTGCAAGGAAACAAAGCTCAGTTCAAAAAAACCTTAGTGCAATATCTTACCTTTAATATTGCCATGCTACATGCCTCCTAAACTTAACCAACAAACCTCTCAAACGTTTCTCAAATATTTATCTGATTAAAGAGTGAGTTTCGAGACATGCAGTAAGATTGTTAGGCAAGTAGCCTCCAATAATATAAAGAAAAATCCAGAAGTTAGACATTACAAAATATACAGAAGAAATATATTTCAACTTAATGGCTATTTGAGACTTCCAGTCAAGATTTTACAACTACAAGTGAATTACTTTTTCTATCCCTCATGCACCTGGGAAAAGTACAGCCACAGTTCACCGAGGAGGCAACAATGGCAAAACTTCATCTCACACACTTTGGGCATGTTGCTAGTAGAGGCTGTTCCTTAAAAAGGGACATCATGCTTGGAAAGGTGGAGGGTCAGCCAAAGAGAAGACCCTCAGTGAGATGGACTGACACAGTGACTGCAGCAATGGGCTGAAGTGGGTCAGAGATGATGAGGATGACACAGGGCAGGACAGGGTTCTGATGTACTGTTCACAAGGATGCTATGAGTCATACTCAATTCAGCACCTAACAACAACAACATCACCATGAGACTAACAACTTCTATTTTGTGGTTTTAGAGACCTATCTTTACTTATACGACCTTACACAAAGTAAGCACATAAAAAGTACCTATTTATGGAAATAAAATTATCCCTCTATGCAGATGACATGATAGTATACTTAGAAAACCCTAAAGACTCAGCAAGAAAACTATTGGA